AAAACACCACGAAATGAGAGTAAAAGAGAGTCTGTCATCGTTTCCAATAATTTTATTAACTTCCAAACAAATTAATCACACATATTTACAAAGGCATTCCCTAGCACAATGTTCAAGGCTGAGGAAAACCCCAACAATGCTTTCCGCAGAACCCATCCCAGGGTCCAAAACACCAATCTCAGGGCAGGGCGTGGCTGAAGAGGGGCACCTGTCAGGGTTCCCTAACTTTTCCCATATTTAGTCACTGTAGGGAGCAGACACAGAGTAATTCGTCTGTTTCCAGTCTCTTACACAACGAATCCCTGGCACAGAAGCTTTTCAGGGTGGGTTTCAGGAGACCCATTCCAAATACAGTTTTCCTCACCAGAATTCAAGTAGGCAGAGTCTCTGCAGCTGGTCCCTGCCTGAGCTGGGCTCCGACATGCACAGGAGCGCCTCAGATGCTGGGGAGCTTCGGAGTCACCACACAAAGTCTGCTCCCCGCTCTGTGCTCCTCAGTCCAACAGTCCCCTCCGAGTCACGGGAGCTGGAGGCCAGGGATCTCTGCCACCTGCAGTCTCGCTCCAGGTCAGACCAGCTCCTCCTCGGAGGAAGAGGACACCTGAAGGTCCTCACAGAGGACACTCCGTGGGACACAAACACAGGGCCCCTCAGACTTCTCTGGGACATGAGGGCTCTGAGTCGGGAAGGCTCCCGGCCTCTTCGCAGAGTCGGGTGACGGAGCCGTGAGGAACGTGGAGCTCCACCCTCCGTCTCCCAGTCTCCTGAAGAGCATTCTGAGAGGCTGGTATCCATCCTGGCCGGCCGCTGGCTGGTGGGACACGGTGCAGGCCCGGACGGTAGGCAGGCAGGGTCTGCTGTGAGGAGGCTGCAGGTCGAGGCTGGGCACCTGGGCGGGTGTCCTCCTGCTCATCTGGGGTGACCTATTTGGTCTAAGTTCGGTTAGAGCTGGCGGAGGCTGTAGAGTCTCCAGGGCGCCCGGCTCCCCTCCCTGGATGCTGTTTTCGGGGATCTGGACAGGACCGAGTCTGGCTTTCTTGGGGACACTCAGGCAAGCCTGAATCGGAGCCTGGGCAGGCCTCTTGGCTCCTGGCCTGAAGCTGAGATTGGAGTCTAGGCCCAAGCTGTGTGTGGCGGCTGGTGGGCAGGGCTGTGAGGTCACAGCAGGACGTTTGGCTTGTGCCTGGGGGTCGATGACAGGGTTCAGACCGTGGGTGCTGGAGGCAGCCTGGGGAACCTCACGGCAGCCATCCTCAGGGCGGCTGTTTGTGGGCTTCACCAAGAGGAGAGGCTGCGGGCCACGGCCCCGGGATGCAGCCTGAGGGATGTGGGCCACAGCCCCTGTCTGTGGTTCCGTGGGTCCACGACTTAAGGAGGAGCTCACACTGGCTTTCTTGAGGGGAGACAGTGAAGCCCAGGTGGAGCCCCTGTCAGCAATTTTGGGAGCTGCGCCGTCGGTGAGAGCAGCGTCCACGACTGGCCTCCTCTTGGTGGTGTGGACTGGCATTGGCCTGCTTGCCCCCTGAAAGAAAGGAAACCACACACGTTAGATGTTCCTCCGCATCCAGCCGACAAAAAATCCAGCACAGCCAAACACAAGGTGCTTGCACCCAGACACTCTCCAGACAGTCTCGACAGGCAGTCATTGGAAGCAGGGACTGATCCTCAAGTGAGTGCTGGACAGGACTAGACACTTGAAAAATGTGCCGTGGAACTAGGTGTAGTGATCTACAGAATATCATCACTGAAGTGACTGTGTCTTGGGGATTCACTGGAGTGACCTAATGTCCTCCTGCCGCTAGGAAAGTGTTGTTGGCAGGCTTGCAATAGTCCGACAGAGAGAAAGCACCAGGAAATATGGCATCTTCAGATGCCTTCACCTGGAATCAATTAACCTGAAAGGGTCGTTGAGACCCTGAGGCTGAGAATGCCCCCAGTTCCCTCCCACAGCTGCGGGCCTGAACGGAAATCCCCCAGGGTAACCTGTAGGAGAGAAAGAGCAGGGGCCCAGGGTGACACTCACCGTCAGATAGTCACAGGGTTCCCCCGATTCTTTTCCACCGGGCAGCCGCTTGGATTGAGGTTTCCCGGAAATTATCTGGAGGAGAGCCTTCCTCTGCTGGTCCTGCGGCCTGCAGAACAGAAAAAGCTCAGGTGCTGCCCCCTAGTTTTCCCAGGGGACAGGGAGAACCCTATCTGAGCCCAGTCCCGTTTCCTGTTTGGGCACCTTCCCTCATGGGCCAGGCTTCCCTTCCTCCAGGCGGCCCTCTAGGCTTCCCAGCTAAGGACGTTCCTTTACATTCCATTGCTTTCCCCCTGTCCTGGGCAACCTCCATGAAACACCCCTGCCCCCCACCCCTGAATCTGTCTCCCAGGGTGAAGGGAGCTCCTGGGTGTGGCACCTAGGAGAACACCCAGCTCTTAGGTGGCAGTACCCAAAGAGCTGTGAAAACCCCTCCCACTGCTCACCTTGGTCTCTCTTCATTCTCTGCCTTCTCCTTGCTCCAGAGCCCCGGGTTCCCCTCAACCCGGGGCTTCCACGGCTTCAGGTTTTCCTTCCCTTCCTCTTTGCCAGAGGTCTGGGGGACCAAGGCTCCGTTCCAGCGCTTCATGGGGCACCTCGTACTTGTGGCCTTGTGGCCAAACGCCCCGCAGTCTTTGCACTTGACCTGAGGGTGGAAAGAAAGTGCTGTCAGTGCACGAGCCTTTGAGGCAGAAATCAAAGATCAAAAATGAGACAGGTTGTGAATTCAGAGCTCAGTAGGGATTCTAGGGAGGGGACGGTGGTATGGGAGCCGCTAAGTGCTGGGAGAGCTCAGATACGGCGTTCCTTCCCAGAGCCCGTGTTACAGAGAAACCCTTAACGGGAAACACTCAGGGTTCTAATGGTCATGAGCATGAACCCAGTGTCAACAACACAGCCAAAGCTGGCTACCTGGGATTCCAGGCAGGAAGGGAAGCTGTTCTCCAGGGTCTCTCAAGGGACCTATGGGGCCTGAGAGGAGGACCCAAGCCAGGCCCACCTTGGATAGAAAAAGAAATTTGGGCCGGGTGTGGTGGCTCATGCCTATAATCCCAGCACTTTGGGAGGCCGAGGCAGGTGGATCTCCTGAGGTCAGGAGTTCAACCAGCCTGGCCAACATGGTGAACCCTGTCTCATTAAAGAAAAGAAAAGAAAAGAAAAGAAAAGAAAAGAAAAGAAAAGGAAAAAAAAGAAAAGAGAAGAAAAGGAAAGAAAGAAAAGAGAAAGTAATCTTGGTGGTGGTGACAGAACTGTTTTCAATTCCACCCAGTCCCTGAGGACCACGAGATCCCCGGATGCTCAAAAGATCCAGGGCTAGACTTACCCTGGGATTTTCCTCATCGGGTGGGGGAACCCTTGGCCCAGCTGGGGCCCTCTGCTGCTTCTTGAGGGTCTGGGCTCTCATGAGTCTGTTTGCCCCTCTCTTGGGGTCACGGTGTGCCATCATCTTCACTTCCTGGCGGTTTGATGTCCACCTTTTTCAGGGTCGACCGTCGGGTCACCTGAATCACACACAAACAACACAAATCCATGGTTAAGCACACTGGACATTCACACACCCACAAGCCCTCACCTAATTCCTTGCTGGTGTGGTCATGAGGAGACCCGCCCAGCAGTTGGTCCAATCTGTGGGTCACAATGTGATGTGCATCCTCAGATGACCATAAGTTCCTCTGCCAGGATTGCCTGGTCCAAGAGGAAACCTTGCCTGCCACGGGTCCCGTGGCCTCTGTATGGCGAGTGAGATTTCAACCCCCAACAACTGATTCTGGAGACTGGACTTAAGTCTATCATGATTCAGCCTACTAGGAAAGACATTCATTCTGTCTCCCTTGACGCTCACAACAATCCAAAGTTTAGGGCATGGTCTACGGGCCCCTTTGGCAGGTCTATTTTAAATCAGGAATAACAGATGCTTCCTATCACCACTTGATTCGCTCCTCTGGACATTTGATTTGGCAGCCAAATAGAAATTCATAAAAAGAAATCATGTTTCTCTCCATCACCCCAGCTGGTTATGGTCTTTCCTGTTGTATCTTTTTGGCTGAGCTCCAGCCCCAGTCCCTGTCTTTATTTTTCTGGTATTTTATAGGAGCCATACGAATTATGGAAACAAAGGGTGAACCTAGCCCGTAACAATTTCTTACATGACTAAAAGGCAAACCACCCTCGTTCCAAAATTCTCTTTCCATTAACTCAGCAATTTGACGTGATGGAGAACATTTATGTTCCCATTTCCATCTCGATCATCTTTCCAGAAATGGAAAGAAGATGGAAATGGAAATACTGGTAACAAGAACACACATCTTACCCTATCATGTAGTCATTACCCCAATGTGACCTGTTCCTTTCACTCTTCTTTGTCTATTTTCCTCCCAACCCCTCAGGGATGATGTGAGACAAACAATTTTTTAGTGAAACTAACCTGAAATGGCAGGTCTGCTATAGTTCCTCGGCTGGCGCTCAGGTGGGCAGATATCAGAGCAGCCCGGCTGGAAGCGATGCAGCCTCCAGGACGCCAGAGGAAGTGGCCGAGAGGGAGCCAGGCTCTGCAGGCTGCCTTTTATACTGCCTCTGGAGACACCCTTCCGGAAATGTACCCTGACCTAATCAACTTAATTCAATTACGTGACCCGGCAATGTCTGTCTACAAAGCCCACTCCAAGATGATGTTCCCTACTGACAAACATTCTAAAACCCTTATGTACACCAGCAAGCTTTGAAGATTCTGTGTCTCCTCTCAGGAAGATTCCATTTGCACATGTAGCTCTGTCTCATTTTACATGGTGTTTTTTAGAAGGTGGGGAAATAGACACAGTTGAACTGGGCCATTTCCCATGGGATGCACTGCAGCTGTTGAAGCTTGATTTCCCCTTTAATTTGCCTTTCATTAATTATTCATGATTCAGGTTGCAACACCTGCTTACCAACTCCCCACGCCCATCACCAGCCCCCCACCCAACCACCTTGAGCTGCTTCCGTGAGCTTTCTGATCATATTGTTTCCTTCCATGCTCTTTGGCCATTTTGGTCATGATCCTGTTTGCTCTCAGGGGAGCAGAGAGTTTATCCTGTTGATTTTGGATACTGACACTTTTTAGATTATGTAGATAATCAAGATAATGACCCTGAATAGCAACGGATGGGGAGCCATTTGTTGGTCTTTCTCAGAACATCTCTCTCAGTTCAGAGACCTCCTAGATGTGGAATTCTGGTCAGGGTTGTTCCCAGGTCCGAGGATGGAGTCAGCCTGTGCATGACGGATGTCTTTGCCTGACTCTTTCAGTGATTCTCAACCTCACCTACTCTTAGGATCATGTGGGAAGTGACTAAAAGGCTCTGGGCTCAGGCATCCGAAAAGAAGAGGGGATGAATCTTTGACCTCGGAATGTACTTCAGCTTTACTGGGGTCTATTTGGGAAATGAAACTGTGCCTAGTGTTCTTGTGCACACCCAGATGCAGCTTCATGGGAACCATCACAATCTTCACCGCACACTTGGCATCCCGGTGAGGCACCCAGGGACTCCTTGGGGCAGGCAGTGCTCACCACGTCTGCAATGTGTGTGATTCCCTTGGTGGAATTTGACTGGGTATGTGTGTTGGCAGAGTGGGGTGGAGATTTTCCAACACCTGTGGATATTTAGGAAACCAAAGGGAGAAACACTCTGGTCTCTGCTATGGATTGCTAACAGAGTCCAGAAATGTTCAAGCCCTAGGAAAATGGGCAAAGAACAAACACGCAATTAGAGTCGAAAGACACGATGTGATGTTTTCCAATAATTTTATTAACTTCCAAACAAATTAATCACACATATTTACAAAGGCATTCCCTAGCACAATGTTCAAGGCTGAGGAAAACCCCAACAATGCTTTCCGCAGAACCCATCCCAGGGTCCAAAACACCAATCTCAGGGCAGGGCGTGGCTGAAGAGGGGCACCTGTCAGGGTTCCCTAACTTTTCCCATATTTAGTCACGTAGGGAGCAGACACAGAGTAATTCGTCTGTTTCCAGTCTCTTACACAACGAATCCCTGGCACAGAAGCTTTTCAGGGTGGGTTTCAGGAGACCCATTCCAAATACAGTTTTCCTCACCAGAATTCAAGTAGGCAGAGTCTCTGCAGCTGGTCCCTGCCTGAGCTGGGCTCCGACATGCACAGGAGCGCCTCAGATGCTGGGGAGCTTCGGAGTCAGCACACAAAGTCTGCTCCCCGCTCTGTGCTCCTCAGTCCAACAGTCCCCTCCGAGTCACGGGAGCTGGAGGCCAGGGATCTCTGCCACCTGCAGTCTCGCTCCAGGTCAGACCAGCTCCTCCTCGGAGGAAGAGGACACCTGAAGGTCCTCACAGAGGACACTCCGTGGGACACAAACACAGGGCCCCTCAGACTTCTCTGGGACATGAGGGCTCTGAGTCGGGAAGGCTCCCGGCCTCTTCGCAGAGTCGGGTGACGGAGCCGTGAGGAACGTGGAGCTCCACCCTCCGTCTCCCAGTCTCCTGAAGAGCATTCTGAGAGGCTGGTATCCATCCTGGCCGGCCGCTGGCTGGTGGGACACGGTGCAGGCCCGGACGGTAGGCAGGCAGGGTCTGCTGTGAGGAGGCTGCAGGTCGAGGCTGGGCACCTGGGCGGGTGTCCTCCTGCTCATCTGGGGTGACCTATTTGGTCTAAGTTCGGTTAGAGCTGGCGGAGGCTGTAGAGTCTCCAGGGCGCCCGGCTCCCCTCCCTGGATGCTGTTTTCGGCGATCTGGATGGGACCGAGTCTGGCTTTCTTGGGGACACTCAGGCAAGCCTGAATCGGAGCCTGGGCAGGCCTCTTGGCTCCTGGCCTGAAGCTGAGATTGGAGTCTAGGCCCAAGCTGTGTGTGGCGGCTGGTGGGCAGGGCTGTGAGGTCACAGCAGGACGTTTGGCTTGTGCCTGGGGGTCGATGACAGGGTTCAGGCCGTGGGTGCTGGAGGCAGCCTGGGGAACCTCACGGCAGCCACCCTCAGGGCGGCTGTTTGTGGGCTTCACCAAGAGGAGAGGCTGCGGGCCACGGCCCCGGAATGCAGCCTGAGGGATGTGGGCCACGGCCCCTGTCTGTGGTTCCGTGGGTCCACGACTTGAGGAGGAGCTCACACTGGCTTTCTTGAGGGGAGACAGTGAAGCCCAGGTGGAGCCCCTGTCAGCAATTTTGGGAGCTGCGCCGTCGGTGAGAGCAGCGTCCACGACTGGCCTCCTCTTGGTGGTGTGGACTGGCATTGGCCTGCCTGCCCCCTGAAAGAAAGGAAACCACACACGTTAGATGTTCCTCCGCATCCAGCCGACAAAAAATCCAGCACAGCCAAACACAAGGTGCTTGCACCCAGACACTCTCCAGACAGTCTCGACAGGCAGTCATTGGAAGCAGGGACTGATCCTCAAGTGAGTGCTGGCCAGGACAAGACACTTGAAAAATGTGCCTTGGAACTAGGTGTAGTGATCTACAGAATATCATCGCTGAAGTGACTGTGTCTTGGGGATTCACTGGAGTGACCTAATGTCCTCCTGCCGCTAGGAAAGTGTTGTTGGCAGGCTTGCAATAGTCCGACAGAGAGAAAGCACCAGGAAATATGGCATCTTCAGATGCCTTCACCTGGAATCAATTAACCTGAAAGGGTCGTTGAGACCCTGAGGCTGAGAATGCCCCCAGTTCCCTCCCACAGCTGCGGGCCTGAACGGAAATCCCCCAGGGTAACCTGTAGGAGAGAAAGACCAGGGGCCAGGGTGACACTCACCGTCAGATAGTCACAGGGTTCCCCCGATTCTTTTCCACCGGGCAGCCGCTTGGATTGAGGTTTCCCGGAAATTATCTGGAGGAGAGCCTTCCTCTGCTGGTCCTGCGGCCTGCAGAACAGAAAAAGCTCAGGTGCTGCCCCCTAGTTTTCCCAGGGGACGGGGAGAACCCTATCTGAGCCCAGTCCCGTTTCCTGTTTGGGCACCTTCCCTCATGGGCCAGGCTTCCCTTCCTCCAGGCGGCCCTCTAGGCTTCCCAGCTAAGGACGTTCCTCTACATTCCATTGCTTTCCCCCTGTCCTGGGCAACCTCCATGAAACACCCCTGCCCCCCACCCCTGAATCTGTCTCCCAGGGTGAAGGGAGCTCCTGGGTGTGGCACCTGGGAGAACACCCAGCTCTTAGGTGGCAGTACCCAAAGAGCTGTGAAAACCCCTCCCACTGCTCACCTTGGTCTCTCTTCATTCTCTGCCTTCTCCTTGCTCCAGAGCCCCGGGTTCCCCTCAACCCGGGGCTTCCACTGGCTTGCAGGTTTTCCTTCCCTTCCTCTTTGCCAGAGGTCTGGGGGACCAAGGCTCCGTTCCAGCGCTTCATGGGGCACCTCGTACTTGTGGCCTTGTGGCCAAACGCCCCGCAGTCTTTGCACTTGACCTGAGGGTGGAAAGAAAGTGCTGTCAGTGCACGAGCCTTTGAGGCAGA